ATTTTACCTCGATTAGAAGGGTATTTAACACCTCTGTCAGACCACATGAGCAGCTCTCTCGTGCTCCTGCTCCCCTGCACATGACTGAGTTTTTCCATTCCAGCGGGGCTGCAAATGTTAATCCAACAGGATGCAAGTGCCCAAAGCTCCAACCCGCTTCCAGGAGCTACCAAGAAAGGCAGAGCAGAACCTGGAAATGCCATCCCAGAGGCACCTCTCACATGGGCATCATGCCCAGGGAAGAGCCAGCAGTAATTCCAGAACCCAGCAGAGTTAAAACACTTATTTAACCCCAATTATGCATCCAGACTGTACCTGCCTCCCTAACTTCCATCACACACTGAATTTAGACCCGTGGCACAAATGGAAGCAGATATTTGCAAATAATAAGTGTGGGTCTTCCAGAGCTCAAGCTCCAGCCCTGTCCTGGGTGCAGCTTGTTCCTGCCAGGTGAGGAGGTCTCATTTCTCCTTGCCAGGACATACAGCCTGTGCTGAGCCCTCAGGAACAGATCCTGAAGAGTTCCAGAGACAGGCAGGACCATGGAACTGGCAGCAGAGAGGCAGGAGCATCCCTCTTCTCCTCTCCATCACCAGGAAAGGAGCTATGAGCTTGGATCATAAAGCTTTTCTACCACCAGCAGTTAGGATGCTGTTGGCTCAGCTGCAGATGAAACTGCAGTTTTGAGCCTCCCACCTTCCCAAAAAACACCCTAACCATGGAGCAATGAGCTGGACAGGGCTCTGGCCAGCAAAACAGGTGGTTTATGGGGTCAAAAAAAAAAAAAAAAAACAGAGAGAAGGAACCAGACATTTCAGCTCAACTATCAATACCCTGTCTGGCCAGGGAAGCAATGTTCCAAGCACTCCTCCAGAAGTTCCCCATTTTCCAGCAGCCCTTCTGGGATGCCTGTCTGTAACCACTGGGGCTCAGCTGGACTCCCTGATGGGGTCAACAACAATGCAAGCACTTTTTTTTGATTCAGGAAAATTAATTCCTTCTGTAAGGCTGTGGGTCTGCCTATTTCTCTATCCTCCCTATTTTGTATTTCCCTTGTTTGTCCCTAAATTCTCCAGTGGAACTCCTGGGCTTTGAAAATGAGTCTCTCCTGATCCACTACTGAGCCAGCTGTAATCCAACCACCACCCACAACCGTGGGTTGCAGAGATCAGGCAAGAGAATTTTTAGGATGCCAGGCAGAAGTTTCTGTGCCCTGAAGGGTGATCCTGATGCCAGCAGGCTGCAGGGCAAGGATTAAAGGACCAAAAAGACAGACAAATAAAACTGCAGGAAGTTTGAGACAAGCACAGGGCACACACATTGCTAACAGGTTTCATAGTGTTTTCCTATTTTTTTTTCTTAATTTCTGCACAGAAAAAGCATGGAAAATAAAAAGCTTAATTCTTGGCCCTACTTGTACTTTTCCATGCAATTCCAGCCAAACCACTGAACTTCTCTGCCTTTCCTGTCAACCAGGCTGCAAACACCATTTCATAAACACTGGACACAGCTATGGGGCACCATCCAAAATGCCAAACCAGGGCTCAGAAACCCCACAGACCACCCAGTGTTCAGGGTGGTGGTGCCTGCAACTGCTCAGATCAGAGCCATCAGATGTGTCTGGAACAATTTCCAGAACCCCTAAATTTGATCATCAACCCGTTTTGGGATTAATTGGGGATTTAAAAACTGAGATCAATAATTGTCAAATGAATATAAGGCATTACATGGAGAATAATTACATGGCATGAGGCCCCCTGGGCAGCTGAGCTCTACATCCTCTGTTACTATTCCCGTCTAAAGCTTTTCTGCACATGGCAGCAAAATCTACACAGCAAAAAATGAGTGTGCAACAAACCCCCTGTGACAACTGCACAGGTTTTGAGGCAGCTGCTTCCAAAAGCATCTCCCAGGCAAGGCCCAGACCCTTGGTCAGTCCCAGGATTTTCCTCACTTCATCCCTCCAGCCTTTGTCCAGTGCCAGCCTTGGCACTGCCAGGACACATTCCCAGGGTGTGACACACGGCACACTGCCAGGCCCTGTGTTTAACAGTCTGCTGGCCAGGAGGCTCAGCCCAGAGACCCAGTCTGGGGGGGAATGTGGCGCAGAGGAGGGATGTGCTACAACCAGCTGGGACGTGAAAAGCCCCACGTCCTGCTGCACGGGGTGGGGCTGAGCTGAGCGAGTCCAGTCAGCTCCTGATGGAAGCGGGAGCGTGTCCCAGCAGCTCCACTAGAGAAAAAATGCAGTTTGGGGATCCTGCATGGGCCCAGCTCTGGTATTGGGGGGCACCACACCCACCAACTCCTGGGGAGACCTGAAACTGGGGGGCTGAGCTCCCAGTGTCGGGATGGCATTGTACCCACCACCTCCCATGGAGGAGAATTACCCCCACCATCTCCAGGGGATTCCTGGTGTCGGGGAAGGGAAAGCTGTACCCACCCTTTCCCAAGGATCCCCAGTGCTGGGATGCCACCCCACCTCCCACCCCCCAAAGATGCCCAGTGCCTCCCGGTGCCCCCCGCTCACCTCAGCTCTCCATCCAGCGCCTGGATGACGGCGGCGAAGCTGCGGCTGGTCTGGTTGAGGTAGCGGTAGCAGGTGCGGAGGCCACATCCCAGCGAGTCCTGCGGGCACAGCGGGCCGGGGGCCGCGGGTTGGAGGCGGGGGGCGGCGGGCGGCGGGGCCGGGGGCGCGGCGGGGGCTCCGCAGCGCTGCTGCTGCTGCTGTCCCCGCCGCCGGCCCGATGCCCGCGGGGGTTTCCGCGGCGGGGACACGGTCAGAGTCCGCCGGAGCACGGACACGGCCCGGGAGCCGGCTGCCATGGGGGCGCGGCGGAGGCGGGGGGCGGCGGGGGGCTGCGGCCGCTCCGCCCCGGCCCCAAACCCGCCCCTTAACCCGCCCCGTCCCGGCTCCACGGCCGGACACACTGCCATGTACGGACAGCGCCGGGGCTCCGGGGATGCGCGCACCGGCACCGAGCAACGTAAGGGATGCTCGGAGCTGGTGGGATGCAGGCGGGCAGCGAGAAATGCATGGGAAGCCTGAAATGTCAGTGGGATGTTGGTAGGATACCGGCATGAGCAATGCAAGGGATGCCCGGAGCCGCGGGATGCTCGGGTAGCACCGGGGCTCTGCGATGTCCGGCACTGGTACCGGCACCGAGCAACGCAAGGGATGCCCGGAGCCGGTGGGAAGCTCGCAGGGTACCGGCACCGAGCAATGCAGGGATGCTTGGAGCCGGTGGGATGCACCTATCTACAGCATGCCCGGAACCGGTGGGATGCCCGGAACCGGTGGGATGCACGCACGGTACGAGCAATGCAATAGGATGCCCGGAGCCGGTGCAACCGGGAAGCACCGAGGTGCACACAAGGCGCACAAAGCCGGGCAGGTCCTATACACGCTGGATATGGGATGCTCACCCATGGCAACACTGTGTCCGCTTCCGGACATGACAGTGCCCCCCACCTCCTCCTCCTCCTCCCGTGTCTCGCTCCCCACCGGGAGCACCGCGCACCGGCGACAGCGAAGCGCATCCCGCCGCCCGCGCATCCCTCGCTGCTCACCGTGTCCATCCGCGGCATGACGGTGCGGTAGCCGCCCATCTTGAAGCGCAGCAGGTTGTAGATGTCCTCGGGGTGGCCCAGCCATTTCCGCAGCAGCTCCATGGGGGCCGCGCTCAGACCCCACCGCCGCCGCCGCACGGTCCCGCCGCCCCCCCCACCCGCCGCTTAACCGGGCACGGGCGGGGCCGCTCCAGCCCCGCCCCGCAGCCAATCACAGCGCTCCGCACATCGCTCGGTGGGGCGGGCGCGGCGCCGATTGGTCAAGACGCGCTCGCACCAGGGCAGCGCCAGCCAATAGGGAGGCGGCGCGGCTGGTGTGACGGCCGGCGGCGGGCGCTGATTGGCGGAGGCGCGCGTCGGCACAGGCGGAGCGGGAAGGAGTCGGCGGCCCCGGACTCCCTCGCGGGAGCCTGAGGGGAGCGGAGCCGCCATGGAGGCACCGGAGGGTTGGCGTGGGAAGGGAGCTTGAAAACCTTCCAGTTCCAACCCCCTTCCACGGCAGGGACACCTTCCACTATCACAGGTTGCTCCAAGCCCCGTCCAGCCTGGCCTTGGACACTTCTGGGATGGAGAAGCCACAGCTTCTGTAGGATTTCCATCCCAGCCCCCACCTCCTCCTCACAGGGAAGAATTCCTTCCCGGTATCCCATCTAACCCCGTGCTCTGGCAGTAGGAAGCCGTTCCCCCTTGTCCAAAGTCCATCTCCATCCCTCTTGAGCCCCTTTAGGCACCAAAAGGGGCTCAGGTCTCCCTGGAGCCTTCTCCAAGATGGGCACCCCCAGCTCTGAGCCTGTCTCCAGAGCAGAGGGGCTCCAGCCCTTAGAGCACCTCTGTGGCCTCCTCTGGATTTGCTTCAACAGTCCTTCCTGTGCTGACAACCCAACACATACCCAGCTCCATCCTCATCCTTCAAACTACAAGATTCAGCTTTTGGGGTGCTTTTTTGGGGAGTGGTTTTCTTTGAGAAGTTGGGCTTTGAGCATCCTTGTGGGTCCCTTCCAACTCAGGATATTCTAGGATTCTTTGTTTTGGACGGGCACTTGGCCAGCACTCTGCAGAAGGGACATTAACCACCTTCTTTGGCCCCATAACCCCATTAATTGGTTTATTCAGCAATCTTTTAACGTGCAGCTACTCAAAGGTGTTGCAGTTACAGGGGAGAGACTGTGCAAGTCTTACCTAGGAAGCAGCTACCTACTACAACAGGTGTTTACCTCCAGCATTCCCAGCTGATTTGCAATCCATCTTTAAATCCATTAATGAGACCACTTAGACAGCTAAGGAAAGTCATTGGTACCACCCTCAATAAGCAGCACCAAAGAAGCAGCTGTTAACCAATTCCAGGCAGCTGGAACTTCCATGTACAGCCCAGTTTTTAACCAAGAAACTGCCAGAAAAGACACACTTGAGATGAACATCACTGAGTCTAATTTCAGCTTTTATTTTTTTGCTCAGGTTAACAACTTATTATTAAAATAAACTCAAATCCAGGGAGAGAGGACAGCAGCAGTTCCCACCTAGTGTATAGAGACACAGCTCTATTTCTAAACCTTTCTGCTTCCAGGTTTCCTTGGAGATCCTGAGTTTTATGCACACTGTCACACACTGTATTTTTGTTTAATTTTACAGCAAGATCTGGAATTGGCAGTTTGCCACACAGCTGAAACCTGTGGGTGCAGAGATGAGCTCCACCAAGGACTGCTGACGTATATTTTGTACACGTTGACATGAAAGGAGGGAGCTGTCAGATCTGACACAGGGAACAGCCCCTCAGGTTTAACCACACCCAGTCACAGCCCAACACACAAAGGCAGGATTATTTAATTCCTAATAATCAAGCTGTTTAGGGAGAGGGATATCCTCTGTTTTGCTGACTCCTCCAGGCTCAAGGGACAGGGTCCCTAAGGACCAAACTCACCAGCCTAAAAGAAACCAAAGAGACCTTCTAGGACAACGAAGAGCATATGGATCAGAGACCACCCAGCACCCTGCAGGACAGATCACTCAGTGACTGGGGAAGGGTCCCCATCCCCTGGCAGCACCTCAGGCTGGCACTGAGGGCACCACCACGTAAGTCTCTTGAAGCCACCCAAGGGCCCAAAAGTGCCCTTCATGAGGGGATGCCCCTGGGGACACTGCTCCTTCTGGTACACCTGGGGGTGCAGCCCATGGCCACGCAGTTTGTTGTGCAGCCACTCAGAGCTGAACTGAACGGCGCAGTCCAGCAGACGCTCCAGATCTGAGCGAGCCAAGAGGGAGCCTGGTGTTAGCGGGTGGATCCTGGCCAGGTACAGGATCTCGTTCTTAATGATGTTCCCTGGAAGGGGTCAGAAAAAAAAGAGACAGCAAGGATATTTCTAATCAAGGTAATGCAGGTTGCTTGCTCCATCCTGTGATTTTTGCCTCAAGGATCACAGCCAGCAATACCATTCCCTGTACCAGAAGTGGCATCCAAAGAGTGGACGTAGAGCTGGGATCAGACTGGAAGTGGTTCTCTTCCCTCTACCATTGTTACACACCTTGAAGATGATCACATGCCCTCAACTGGATCAACCAGAAGCTCTTAAACTAAAGAGAAACCTGCCCAGACATGCACTTCTGCATCTGTAGACATCCCACCCACCTTCCTCCATTTCTCCTTCTGCCCCTTTTCCCTGGAACTCACCCAGCCCTGAAAAATATCTTTGGTTTAGGAGGGTGTAGCAGACGGGTTCGGGTGCACAGAGGGCACGCAGCGCCCGGCCACGGTGGAATTCCACAGACAGGATGTCAGAAGCAGGATCAGCCCTTGGAGAGGAGCACCAGAGCATCCGGCAGTTGTAGAAAACAAGGAATCCTCCACTCTCAAAGTGCAGAACCAGCCTGGGAGAAGCAGGGAAGTTGGAGTCTCCCATCAGAAACATCTCTGAACTCCTTGTTATACTCTGTAGCTGGCCACTGTCTCAAGGCAAGGTGGCATCTTTAACAACTGCAGCCATGAAGCTTGGTGGTGAACCCACACAGCTGGTGGAAAATTTTTCCTTCTGCTGCCCTGTGACTGTGTTTGACAAAGGCTTCAGCAGGGCAGTCCACAAATCAGAGAAATGAACGTTAAAAGTAGCACAAAAAACTGTCTAAAAATATTTGTATGGAAATAAATTCATTCTTCAAAAAAAATCATAGAACCATAGAATGGTTTGGGTTGGAAAAGAATCCAAAGATCATCTTGGACCACCCTCTGCCATGGACAGGGACACTTTGCCCCACCCCAGGTTCCTCCAAGCCAGGTCCAGCCTGATCTCTGACACTTCCAGGGCTGAGGCAGCCCCAGCTTCTCTGGGAAGCTGTTCCCCCTTGCTCTGCACAATTCCAGTGGGATATAGGATGCAAACCACAGCCATGTTCTCAATTCACTGCTGCCTTCAACAGCATCACTCCAGCCTGTGATTCCAGATGTATACAACATTTGCTATTTATCCAAGATTTTTTTAAAAAGACATAATTGGGGAAACTGTCATTTTTAGGGCATGATTCAACCTGGCATCCTAAAACTTCTCTCTTCAATACAAAAATCTTAGCAGAGCTCATACTATAATCCCCAGACAACTGCATCCTCCAATTCCACTGTGGATTCTCTGGTTGAACACACCCTACATTCACTCATACCTTAAAATTACCAGAGAAAATCAAGGTTTGGAGCATTCCCACACAGATTTGGTTTGAGAGAAAAGAGAAGAGGAAATACCTGGGCACAGGATCCTTCCAGTCCCCCCTTTTATTTGCTCTGCTTGCCCTCGAGAACTCGTTTGCCCGGACGCTGCCGAACATGCCAAAGTGGATGCGCAGCCAATTGCCCTGACCCTCTGCTGCCTCTGGGGCTTCAGATTTTGAGTGCTGGGCTTCCTGTAGCTCCTCATCCTGGGAGTGGGGATGTGGAGCCCCATCCTGGGCAGGACAGTGTGCCCCACAAGCAGCCTCTCCTTGCAGTGCTGTCTCTTGTGCAGTTGGTCCAACGGGACCTTCAGCTGCCACAAATGCCAGGTACAAGTTCTTCCCATGAACCTGAGAAAAGAGGTGGGATGTGCTGATGAGCCATAAAGGATCATAACATTCTGGAAAGACCTGGGTTCAAATGGACCTTAAAGCTCATCTCATTCCAATCCCCCAGACACAACCTCCACTAGACCAGGATGCTCAGCCCTCATCCAACCTGATTTTGAACACTTCCAGGGACAAAATCTCTACCTGTTTCCATACAAGTGACTTATTTTCTACAACCTTTATTAGAGGGCACATCAGCCCACCCTGACCATGGGATTCATCAGCACCCAAACCATTCCCATCCTTGCAGATTCCTTTCTTTGCCTGCCTGAATCCCTCCCAGGGGCTCCCATTAGGCCCACCAGGACAGACACTCAGGGGTTTGAAATTTGTCATCATTGCTCCTGATTCATCTTTCCACTTTGTGTTGGGCGCACTTTGTGCTTTTAATTTTGCTCCCCACCTTTAATCAGAGGTGAGGCTGCACCAGGGTTTGGCCAGTCAGGTCCAAATCATCATCTGAGGGTGTCAGGCCAGTGAAGCCCCAGCAGGACTGACCCAGTGTGACTTCTGACAAGTACCCACAGCACAGACATCTCAACTTAGCCAGGTGAAACCCTCAGGGAAACATTCACAGGTTCTGCACCTTCTGTCACCCAGCTGTGGGGCAATGGTGATTTCTGCACTCAGATTTATCATGGATCTGTAAATTCAACTCACCTGGGAGTCCTGGAGCCTCAGGGCATTCAGGTCATTCACACTGAGCTTCCGGCTGCTTCCCCCCACCTTGGCCACCACTTGGCCCACAAAAGGGGAGGTCAGCAGCTGGAACTTCCTCACTGATGGGCCCTCTGGCATCTCCAGCAGCTGCAGAGGGATTAGCAGGTCCTTGTCACACTCTGCCCTAGACTTGAAGGGAAGCTGCAACTCAGAAATACACAAAACATTCTCCTGATTTTCCTCCTTAAGTTGCTGTGGCAAAGTCCATGAAGGTAAATAGGACCAGGATGGTGGAGGAGTTTCCATCCTAGCAGATATGTATAATTTAATCCAACACAGCCCTGAACAACATACTCCAATGGCAGTTTTCACGCTACAAGTGGGAATTTGGCCTGGGGAATCTCCCCAAGTCCTTTTTTTCCTGGGGCAGTGGGAGGTTTCCCTGCCAACATCATGGGGGTTGGAAGCAGATGATCTTTAAGGTCCCTTCAACCCATTTCAGTCTGTAATTTTATGATTAGTGACCCATCTTTTCCCCAATACACCATGGGAAGTGCTTCTCCCATGGAAAGATCAGGCCTGGAATTAGAAGATCCCCACCCCTTGCTTTAGCCATTGCTCGCCCCACTGACTGCAATGGCATGGAACCAGTTGGGGAGCATTCCTACACTCTGCTAACAGCATCTGGGAGCAGAAGGCTCTGGGTGAGGGGGAGATAAAGCAGCACCATCCTGCAGCTCCTTCCAGGAAGTCACACCAATACATAAGGAGTTATTTCTGTCATTTGCATTAATTCTGAGGACTTCTGCTGGCTGTGGGTGTACAAGGAAAGCTCAGCTTGGCTTTCATCCCACAGCACCAGTTCTCCCTGCAGACTAATCCCAGAGACCAGCACTGATCAGAGGCTCAGCTTCAAGCTCCACAGCACTCAGTACAGGGCTCTGAGGCACCTGGCACAGCTCTGAGACAGTTTGATGAGAAAATCAACAGCAATCCTAGGGGTTTGCCACCAGAAGAGCCATTCCCACCTCATGCCAGACATTCATGTGCTGCAGCACAAACCAAATCCCTTTTGGAAGGGCTCAAGAGGAAAACATGTTAGGGAACATTAATGTAATGTCTTAGATCCACATACAGATATTAAGTGGTCATCAAAACTAGATTTAGCATGGATAAAAGACTGAGCTTTAGTCCTCTGCCTTCAAGGGCACATGATGATTACTCACAGGCCTCCTCCAGTTTAATCAAAAAAAATCTGCATATTATGTTGATCAAGAGACAGCTAAAGAGATGCTTCTGCTGCCAAAGGCACCAGCAGCAGTTTGGATCCCTGGAAATAGCTGAGCACAGGTCATCCAAGGAGTCTACCCTGACTATCCAGGCATTGGCTTCACATCAGGCAGCACAGATTGAGCACCAGCACAGCCCTGTGAGCCCAGAGCTCATATCCCAGGGAAGTTCATCACCTGCAGAACTCTGACTGCTGCTAAGTCAGTTCTCCACAGCTCCTTGTGAGAGACTGGAAGTGGTATTAATGCTCACACTGCCCCAGCTGTCTGACAGCAAAGGAGCACTCTCAAAAGGGAAGACTGCCCTGCTCCCCAGCACATCAGAACCACCAGCATCTGCCATCCTTATCCCATGTACCTGATTCCCTTATCTCCATGTACCTCCTTATTTCACATTTTTACTCTAGACCCACTTTAGTCTCAGCCACAGCTCCCCCCTCTAAGGATGAAAAGGAGGAAAACCATCCCCAGCCCTCTGCAGGGCACGACACCCATCTCATCATGAGCATGACCACCTGAGCTGGTACCTCTGCAGGTGTGGGGCAGGGAGCCAGGCCTCCAGGACAAATCCTCCCCCTGTATGGGCTCATTCCCAGTCCTTGTGCCCAGACAAAAAGCCCAGCATCCACAGCAGAACAGAGCAAGGACAAGGCTCATGCAGGTCCCCCCAGCTCTGCCTGCACCCCGGGATTGCAGGATGGCTCCCTGTGACCTTACACCCCCGGGCAAGGCTCCTGCAGGGACCTCAAGGCACAGCTCTGACCCTCCACATGCTGTCAGTGGGGGTACAGAGCTCTCCATCTTCTCACATTCAGCCAAGCATCAATTTGCAGCCATCCCCAGAAAACAGGCCCTGAGTTCTCACTCACATCACCCCAGGGCAGTGAAGGCACCCACTGCTTTTCTCCCAGGCCCCACATTCCTGCATCCAGCTCTCATCCACTGCTCTCCCCAGGCCCACCCTGTGCATCCATTTAGGGAGCAGGCTGGGCAGCCTTCACCCCTACTTCATTACCTCCCCTCTACCCCCAGCCACATTCCACAGCACCTGCACCTCACCAGGACCTCGCACAGCCAAACCCCTTTCACCCACTTCTTTTTATAAGGCAGGACGATCCTCCCTCCCGCCCAAAAAAGCAGGAGAGCTCCCCAATTGGCTGCTGGGGGAGGGATGGGCGGGTCAGATTGGCTGCACTCACCCCAGTACGGGTCAGTAAACTGGTGGGACTGGAAAGGATGGGCAGTGCCCGGCAGGGTGATGGGGGGCTCCGAGGAGGTTGTGCCCTGCGGAGTGAGAGGTGGCTGAGTGTGGGAATCCAGGGCTTCCCTCTGGCTGCCCTGGCAGGTCTGGGACCCTGGCAGGGGTCAGGAACCCCCCTGTACAGAGCCCCGAGAGACACTGTCTGTGATCTCTGTCCGTGGAGAGGAGTTTTCAATCTTACAGGATGAATTACAAGCTTTGAGTGTTTGATAAGAGTAATAATTAAGTGTGACACGGGTGCAAAAGTAAAATTTTAGGTTTCTAGATTAGGGGTTCAAAGGGGACAAGATGGAGGAAATTGGGTGTGTCTTGTCCTTTTTCTCCTTCTTCATGCCCTCCATGTTTCACTGTGGTGTTGGCATTTTTCTGTTGGTTTAGGCTGGGGACACGCTGTTCAACGTAGATGATAGATATTGGCACGTTATTGTAAATATAGTACATGTAGTTTGTGGTATATAATGTTTGTAACATCCCACTGAGGGGTGTTACATTGGCACGTTATTGTAAATATAGCACAGGTAGTTTCTGGTATATAATGTTTGTAACATCTCACTGAGGGCAGAGCCCCACACGCTGCCCTGCAGGACAGAGCTGCGGCAGGGCAGCAGAACATGTGAGAGATAAACAGAATAAACAACCTTGAAACCAGCACAGATGAATTATGTCTTCTTCTTTGGCAACGGGGCAGAAAGACAGAGACTTTCTACAATCTCAGAATCACCAATACCCACAGATTCCGACAGCTGAGCTTACTGACAGCCTCATTGCTGCTCCAGGCTGTTGTTGTCTCTGAGTTCAGCTGGAAGCATTCAGGCTGAACAAGATCTACCGAGTAAAACGCGGCAAGGAGATAAAAAAGCTAAAGTCATGATGGTTTTTAAGTGCCCTCAAGGGCTTTCCCCCCTCTCTGCTGTGTTCGGGTGTTACCAATATTGGAGATTTTCCTTATTTATATTAAAATCATAGTCACAGACTGGATTGGAAGGGACCTTAGAGATCATCCAGTTCTGCCTCTCTGCCATGGGAAGGGACAATTTTTACTAGACCAAGTGGCTCCAAGCCCTGTGTCACTGCTGAGTTTTTCATGCTGTGTTGGCAATCCCAAATCCTCTGTATGGGAGGGGGCTGTGTGTGACTCTGGGGCTTGGGAACAACATTGGTTTTCCTGCAATGACTCATTGCTTGGGAATTCCCAGGTCTAGGCAATTAATTTACCAAATATTCTGATTCTCTTTAATAAACTAATATTTATTAAATAGGAATTTTATATAGGACAAGGAGTAATAGGTGCAAGTTGAAGGAGGGGAAATTTAGATTAGATATTAGGAAGAAATTATTAACTTTGAGGGTGGTGAGACACTGGAACAGGTTACCAAAGGTGGCTGTGGCTGCCCCATCCCTGGAAGTGTCAAAGGCCAGGTTCAATAAGGCCTTGAATGACCTGGTCTAGTGGAAGGTGTCCCTGCCCCTGGCAGGAGGTAGGACTAGATGAGCTTTAAGGTCCCTTTCAACCCCTTAACATTCTATGATTTGGGAAAACATTTCCACCATGAGGAGTGTTTTCAGACACCGAACAGGAACCCAGAGAGGTGGTGAGATTTCCATCCTGGGGTATGTTCAAATCTTGACTGAACAGGTCTCTGAGAAACCTGATCTCATCTTTTCTGACTTTAAATTCCCTGTAATTTTTTCATTGGGAGCTCTCTGGGACAGGACCCACTTCACCATTTCTTTTCCCAGGTGCACTTCATGTTTTCAGTATTTCATCATTTACCCCCTGCCCTCTCCAAGAAGCCTACAAAGGAAGACAGAATCAAGCAGAAACCTTCTGGTTTTATTATCATTGTTCTATTTCCATTAGTTCTAAAGGTGTAGAAGTTACATGGATTGGTAGCCATACTACTTCATAATAGATATTTTTTTACATCTTTAAATAATTACAGCTTGTTCAGTTGGTTGGTTTCCCTCTCCCCCTTACAAATAAGTGTCTGTTTCCATGAGACCTTCCCAAATGACCTGGGAAGCTTCAAACTTTATACATGGGGAGAAAAAAAAGGCAAAACAAAACACCACCCCTGACATAGTCACAGCTTCAATATTATATTGAGAGTTGTTGATTGGTTCAAAGCTCCCTTGCAATATTCCTGAGCTCCTCCTGATTGCACCCTCTCCATCCAAGCCCAAAAGAATGCAGGTGGTCTGTGGATCTTGTCTGACCAATTTACAAAGAATAACTGAAGTGAATCAAGATACTGCACTTCCACAAAGAGCAAAGACATTTAGAAGTGGTTAAATGACCCTTCTTGGCTCCCTATCCTGGCTCTCATCTGCCCATCTCACTTCGGTGGCCATTGGCCACTGCCAGTGCCAAGGTCTGATTTGACACATCCAAACTGTAACCCTTTTTAAACCCTAGCTGTAAACCCTTCAGCATCAAAATTTTCCTGATTAGGGATGGTATTAAGGGGAACAAAAGCCACAAATGTAGTTTTAAATGTGCTGAGGTGTTTTGCAGGAGTGGGCCCTTCCCTCTTGCTCCTCAGAGAAGGGATAGTTCTCGGTTCTGTATTTGTGTAGGACCTGGTATGAATCTCATTAGGTTCTCCAGCAATAAAAGAAATAATAAAACTACAATAATGGGTCTCTAATAATTGTATCTAATTCATTACCAAAGCAGGCTCTAATTGCCTTCCCCATCACAGGCAGGAAAGCAGAGCTCAGGTAGAACCTGGAATTTTGTAATTGGTTCCTCTTGCTGGAAGGAGCCGAGTGTCCTGAAAATGGTGGCACTTTAATCCTCTTGTCCTGTGAGTATCCCTTGGTCTGTTACTTCTGGAATTTGCCATCCTGCAGGGGCCATCCCAGCTCCTGCCTGCAAGACGTGGCTCTGAGGGATTCCTGGGCTTCAGCCTCCCACAATGACTCTACATGGGAATCCCCAAATGTGAGTAATTAATTTGCCAGTGATTTTTGGAAAAAACATTTCCAGCATGAGGGTGGTCAAACACTGGAACAGGAACCCAGAGAAATGGTGGGATTTCCATCCTTGAGAATATTCAAAAGTTGCCTGAACAGGGATTTGAGAGACCTGATCTCATTCCTTCTAAGTTAATTATTTTGTAATCTGATCATTAGAAGCTCTGAAGGAGGGGACCCATCAATTATAGTGTGTTTGTACCCCACCAGAAATGGTGATGCCGCATCTGAGGTCAGTCTCTCACCATCCTGATATCAGCACTGGCCTGAGAAAAACAAAATCTCTTGGGCCAACAGCACCTCTATAACAGTTTTGGATGACTGAAAAGAACCACAGAACCTGGTGTATCCAAACTTCTGCTTCTGGTACAGAAAGGGAGACAAAAGAGCTAATTTCTACCCCTAAGGAGTTGTCCTCTACCTCTAAAGCTGTCCTCACAGCCCCCAGAGCTTCACCTTTTGAAAGCAGATATCTTGTTCTGTTATCAGGGACTTGTAAACACTCCT